TTTGTAGCAATTTTTTTTTTTTTTTTTTTTTTTTTTTTTTTTTTTTACCAACACCACACTATCTTGATGACTGCAGCTTTAGAGTAAGTCTTGGAATGAGATAGAGTAAATCTTCAAACTTTGTTATTCTTTTTCAAAAGTATTTTGGCTAGTTGACTTCCTTTATTTTTCCACATAAATTTCAGAATCAATTTCTCAATTTCTACAAAAAGCCTTCTGAAACTCTGAGCAGAATCATGCTGAATCCATAGATCAATTTAGAGAGAATGACATTTCAGTAGTCTTACGATCCATGAACACAAATATCTCCACTTATTTAGGTCTTAGTTTCCCTCTTCAATGATTTGTAGTTTTCATCATATAAATCTTACACCTATGTATTAGATTTGTCCCCAGGTATTTTATATTTTTTGTAAAGAGATAGCAACGTTAGTATTCTATCACTTTATTGTTGTTATGTTATGTTATTTTGGAAAAATAAAAATAGTAATTATTATTAAAATAAAATAATTATTCCATCTAAAGTTTAAGTACAACTATAAGATATGAGTCAATTTTAAATTATGTTAATTTTCATTCCAAAAAGGGCAGTTTCTCCTCTAATATAGCCCTCAAATCTATTCTGCTATAGACCTGGTTAATACTGTCAATTTTGTAGGAAAGGTCACCTTTCCACAGTAACTGACTCAAATGGCTATAAAATATTCTTTCCTTTTTTTTAATATTAATACCTTTCTAGGTGAAGCAGTTAGCAATAGAATCGAGGTATATTTGTTTTTACTTATGTTCACTTTAATTACAGAATCTAGAATCAGTAACTGTGTAGTTATCCTCTTTACTGTTCACTGTTTGTCCCTCCTAAATGAATTTTCAACAAATGTGAATAAAGGCTTCACTATACCAGGTATTCTACTAGGCACAATTACAATAACAACTAGCTAGTTGTTATTTTAGCTTTTTAACAATCTGCTGAAGTAAGTACTATTGTTGTGCATTTGATGAACACAGGCAGGGAAACTTGGTTCAGAGAAACTGAATTAAAATTTCAGTATGACAGAACAAGCATTTGGGAAAACAAAATCTGAGTCCAAAGATGTGCTCTCCCCACCTGTGAGGCTGCTGTGGAGACAGCAGGCTGGTATCCACAGATTCTCAAAAAAAAATTCCACACCAAATATCTGAGAATCCACAGATTCCTTATTATGGTCACACTTAAAATGTAAACACTGCAGTCAGAAACCATACCCAGCTACACCGGTGTTTCTAACAAAGTAGGTGCAACATAAGATCCTTGAAAACAAGCTGACGGTGGTGCTCACGCCTGTAATCCTAAGATTCTGGGGGGCAAAGGTGGGTGGATTACATTGAGCTCAGAAATTTGAAACCAGACTGGGAAAGACCCCAAGTCCCCTTGGTCTTTTAACCAAGACCCCATCTCTGTTAAAAACAAAAAAATGAGCCAGGTGTTATGGTAAGTGTCTACAGTCTCAGCTACTTGGGAAGCTGAGGCAAAAGGATTGCTTGAGCTTAAGAGTTTGAGGTTGCTGTCAGCTATGATGTCACAGCACTCTACTGAGGGTGGCAAAGTAAGACCATGTCTCAAAAAAAAAACGAGTGGATCGTAGCCAGGCATTGTGGCAGGCGCCTGTAGTCCTAGCTACTTGGGAGGCTGAGGCAAGATAATCATCTAAGCCCAAGAGCTGGAGGTTGCTGTGAGCTGTGACACCATGGCACTCTACCGAGGGCAACAAAGTAGAATGGCAAGGTGGGTGGATTGGTTGAGCTCAGGAGTTAGAGACCAGGTTCAGCCAGAACAAGACCTCATCTCTAGAAATAGCCAGGCATTATGGCCGGCACCTGTAGTTCCAGCTACTTGGGAGGGTGAGGCAAGAGGATCTCTTGATCCTAAGAGTTTGAGCTTGCTATGAGCTATGAAGCCATAGCACTCTATCTAGGGAAAAAAAGACATTTTAAAATCCCCAAAATATACACATTAACTCAAATGCTCAGATTAAACTCTTGGTTTACTAAGTAAGCAAGTTGAAACTATTATACTCTCTCATATTTCACTATTGATACATTTTTATTCTCTTTTCCCTCCAATACATGCTACCTAGGTAACATTTTGGAATATGAGATTCAGTTTAGGAGAAAGCAAGTAGCATGCTCACACCTTTACATTAATTTGACATGAATAGATTAGTTCTGAAGGAAGCTTTCAGCAAGCCTCCTCAAACACTGTACTTACTCACAACAGTACTTAGCACATGGAGAGGTTTAATAAGTGCCTTTGAGAGACTGACCTCAAGGAAAAAAAAGAACTGTTGCAACTCAAAAAGCCTTTTGATATTAATTTATTTTCTAAATCACTTGGCAGAAGACAGCTAAAATACAACCTTAAATTTATCATTCTCCAGCCAATAACTGAAATTTCTAAATAAAGCTGCACAGTAGCATGGAACAGTACTTTCAGATTTATTTACCTGCAACAGTCCAAATGCAAGATTCTTTATTCTTCCATCGTAACGATGGTACAACAAATCCTGACAGCAGTGTAAAAAGCAAAACTTTCTTCTTTTTAAATAGCTTTAGGCATCGGCTATGTTAAAAGGCCTACAAAATTCTGAACCCAAGACAGACTTATTCAATTACCTAAAAACCCTGAGGCTTGCTTATAAATTAAGTTTTATAAATTTTTAAGTTATAAGTAGAAGCGGCAACAACAGTAGTTTAACTACAGAGGAAAATCAGCTCCCCTAAAACTGAAGACTTTCTCTGACCCTCAACGCTGCCACACCCTGAGTAAATTAGCTGTTGGCCAAGCAAGGGGTTCTCAAAGGAAAATGACATGCTGACATGCTAATTGAAATACTGACTAAAGCAGCTTAAATAATCTAAACAGACATAAGGAAAGAAAATCTCTCTAATGTAACCAAGACACAAACCATATACGATTTATCTTGGAGAAGCAAAAATATAAGTAATTCACTGTCATCATCTATTGCCCCTCAGAAATTCTAAACTGGGAGTAAAAAGTATGGCCAAGTGAAATGGCCTCTCCTGTTTGTGAGGCTTCACAATGGTTGGTGAATAACTGAATTATCCCCATTATGTTAAGGTTTGAACAAAGGTCTGATATATAACCATATGCATGCTTGAAGTTTTAATATAGGATCAAGGCTCTTATAAAAAAAATTGTTTAAAGATAAAACAGTTGACTCCTTGAATTATAACAGCAAAAATAAATCCACAAAAAAGAAAGACTTCTAAAGGAAGAAAAAAGAATCCTAAACCAAAAAATCATCTGATTATTATCATCTAAAGGTTATAACCAGAAAAGTCATGTGAAAATTTTAGTTAATTCATTCAACAAATATTTACTTACTGACTTCCTCCAATGTGTCATAAAGCTTATATTAAAATCACATAACGATCTCTCAGACATCTCTGTTTTGGTCTTCTTGAAAATTAATTGCTCAAGATGATATTATTAATCACTGCCAAAGCCAGGACTCAGATTCAAGATTCCTATCTTCTTGAAAGAGTAGAACTTTGCTTATATAGTACTTTCAAGAAAAAAAAAATAGTAACAGCAACAATTTGCCTGATGCCTGAACATACTGTTAGACTCACAGCAATAAATTAACTTAGATATCAGGGCTATACTGTTTTCCCTTTCTACTTTGTCCATACTGCTACCACTTCAGGCAACTATACCTAGTTGTTTCAGTTATGTATATTATCAAGATAATGAAACCAAGGCTACTGGTTCAATCTTCAAAAGGGATTTGGTATCTGTTATCATATATACTCAGAGCAAACAAATGGTCAGTGCAAATCTGTCTTCGCTAAAGAAACTTAAGATGTAAAAGCACAAAAACAGTTTGGATCAAGGATACTAACTTCATAACTGACAAGAGAACATCAGGTATCCCCCTCCATACCTGACCTTAGAACTAATTTTAGATTATCAGAGTCCCATAACCCAACTGGGAAACTTCCCAAGGAACTGAAAGGTTGAACTCTGATTCAGGTCCTCCTCTTAATTATTTGAAGTTTGGGGCTATCAAAACTCAAAAAAAAAAAAAAATCATACTTGTAAATTTTTCCTTCCCAGGTTCGTTCACCCACAAACATTAATATCCCACATTGACAACCTACTGGACTTTGTTTCCACTTTCAGCAAAGAGGGTATGACCCAAACTACTGGTCTGTCCCAGTGGGATAAATCCAATGGGAATCTTACTGAAGGTAGCCTGGGGGAGAGAAAAGAAGAAAGTTTTATTGTTATGGTCAGAAAATCAAGCTTACTGGAGAAGCACAGGTGCGTCCACTATGACAAAGTAAAAGACCTAGAATTTGCCTCCCCATCCCTTTCCCACATCCCTAGACCAGCAATCAAATAAAACCAAGGGAGCAGTTCTAATAAAGCAGTCAAAAAAATACAATGACTTAGAATTTAGAAGAAAATATTTGAGTACTCATTAAAGATAACTGTTTGGAAGAAATCTTGAATAAAATAATGAGGGCTTTGAAGACATTAGAGCAAGGCACTACTGCAAAAGAGACTGTATTATGTTGTTATGCTTTGAAAAAGTTGCAGATAAGATTCAACTAAAAATGTCTACCATTTACAGTGGCTAATGACATATGATGGCACTTTATAAACCATCTGAAGGAAAAAGAGAATAAGCAAGTTCAAGTAGCAGAAGGTAAGAGCATAGCAGATGATCTAATTAAATGCCACAAACACAATAGATACTGTAAGGTTCCTGGAGACTATTTTGAGCACAATCTATTATTACCAATGGGACTGAGGATTTTCTTTTTGTTGTTACTTATAAAATACTTTAAACTACTACAGGAAAGTGTATAAAATAATCTTACAAACTGTGTGCCCACAACCCAGATTTAACAAATATTAACCTTTGCTGTTTTGCTATAGATGTTTTTAAGAATTAAAATGATACAGTCAAAGTCCCTTCTAACCCTATTTTCTCCTCTCCCTTCCCAGAGGGAACCATTATCCTGAAGTTGGTGTGATTCTTTCCTGGCGATGTCATTATTCTTTGACTACGTATTTAGGTATCCACTAACAATATGCAATATTGTTTTCTGAATTGTAAAACTTTGTAGAAATGCATAACGTACTTTGGCAACCTGCCTTTCATATTCAATACTTTTGAGACTTAACCATGTAGATATTTATAGACTTACTTCATTCATTTTAACTGCTGTATGGCTCTCACTATATAAATGCATTATAATCTACTTGGGAAGGAATTCTTTGAAGAAAAATTCCATAGGAAAATTTCATATATTCTACAACTATTGGTCAGAGCTATTGGATACCCTTGATAACCAAAGCAGAAAAGTCCCCATGGATAAATAAATGTGCTCTATCACACAGGCTGTAATATTTTCTTTTCTAAAATCTAAGAAAGCATAATTTCTTAGTACCCATTCTAAAATATAAAGTAAAGAAAAAGTGAAAGAATTAAAGAGCAATTAAAAAACAGCCAGAAAAGTAAAACCTCAAATGCAATTACTCTTTCTTTAAAGCTCACCTCATCTGTTCTTCGAAGAATTCCAGTAACAACCTATAAATGTAAAAAAATTATAAACAATATGTTTACTTTATCATAAAAGAATTGGATTCAATTGCCGGGGACCATAAATTTATTCCTGTTTTCTTCTTAGAAGCTCTGTTGAAAGATATATTGTATCTTAAATCACATAGTATTCTCCAACACAATCAGACCTAAATTAGATTCATTTTTGACCCAGTATCAGTAATACAACAAAGGCTAAAATAATTATAAAAACGCCACATTATATTAGTAAATTATCTTCTAAGTTTCATAAATTGGTATAAATGTGACGCACTCGTCAACTAAACAAAGACCCTAGTTTACTACTCTGAGGTACATGTACAGGGATAAAAACACTCAACCACACAGAAAAGTATGCACAAAGTAAATGGTTCTTATTGATGAATATGAAGACCAGGGGGATACTCTTGTAAAATCTGTGATAAATACCTGAAGAAAAAATAATTTCTCATAAGTCTACCATGCTGGATAACAATATTAATGTCTTGTTTATATTGTGATATATTTCCCATCATTATATATATTTTTTAAAAGAGACTCTGTCATCCAGGCTGGAGTGCAGTGGCACCATCACAGCCCTTTGCAGCCTCCAACTCCAGGGTTCAAACAATCCTCCCATCTCAGCCTCCTGAGTTGCTGGGACCCTAGGCATGCACCAACATACCTGGTTAATGTCTTTTTTTTTTTTTTTTTTTTTTTTAGACACAGGGTCTCACTATGTTGCTCAGAGTGGTATCAAATTCCAGGGCTCAAGTGATCCTCCCTCCTCACTTCCCAAAATGCTAGGATTACAGAAGAGCCACAACTTCCTACCCTAATCCTTCTTTCAACTGATGCACATTTTTATATGACTATGGTTATACCAAACACACAATTCGGTAACTTTTTTAAAAAACACTTTGTAAATTAAAGCCTAACCTAAATCTCCTTCCTTCATCTTCTCCAGCCTCACTGAATTTTAGGATTAAATGGGGGTGTCAAGAGGTCTACCTCATTCTTTGAAGGCAAGCTATCAATATTCTCCACACTTCATTACAAAGCCATAAAAACAATTACAAGATCATTACACAGCCTTTTTAAAAGAAGCTTACTTGGGCTCACATAATTGCTAAGTCAAATATAGCATAGTACCCTATCTGCTGTTAGCTTCTGATCCCCAAACACTGATGAAACCACTAGAGACAAAAGACAACTGGCAATGAGGTGTGGGTGTGAATTCCAGCATAGGGAATGGAATAACAGCAGGGGGCAGGATCCCCTGCACTGGGCTCTTCCAGGTTTCCCAATAGATGATCAATACACAACTCTCCAGCGTGGAAAAGAGTACTTACAGGGACCAAAGCACTTACCTTGGACCTTACTGGACCAAAGTAAGCATCAGGGATGTATAATTTTTTTAATTAATAAACTTTATTTTTATGAACCAGTTTTAGATTCACCGTGAAATTGAGAAGGAGGTATAGAGACGTCCCATATACTCTCCTATTCCTACACTTGTATACACTTCCCCACCAGAGTGGTAGGTGTGTTACAGCTGATTAACCTGATTGCTACATAATTATCACCACCCAATGTCTGTGTTATACATTCTATGGGTTTGAACAAATGTAAATGTATCTACTATTAGTATCATACAGAGAAGGTTCAATACCCTATTCTCTGCCTATTCATTCGTCCCTTCCCCAAACCTGTGGCAGTCACCGATCCTTCCAGCTCCATAACTGTGCCTGTTTCAGCTGCTCAATAGTTGGAATCATACAGTCTTTTCAGACTTCGCTTAGTAAGTTTCTCCCATGTCTTTTCATGGCTTGATAGCTCATTTCTCTGAGTAATACTCCACTGTCTGGATGTACCTCACTTCAATTATTCAGCTACTGAAGGACATCTTGGTTGCTTCCAACTTTTGGCAGTTATGAATAAAGCTGCTATAAACATCCATGTACATATTTTTGTGTGGACATAAGTTTTCAACTCATTGGAGTAAATGCCAAGGAGTACAATTGTTGGGTCCTATAGGAGTACATTAAGTTTTATAAGCAATCACTCAACTGTCCCAAAGTAGCTATACAATTTTGCACCCCCAATAGCAATAAATAAGAGTTTCTATTGCTCCACATACTTGCCAGCATTTGATAATGTCAGTGTTCTGAAATTCTGGCCATTCCAATAGGTGCATAGTGTTATGTCATTGTGGATATATAATATTAAAACAAAGCAGGTGCACACATCTGAACATGGAGACCTCTTCCTATAAATACAGTATCGTGAGATAATACTATACGTGTGGAAATGATGTGAGAATGAACAGATGTATTTTCTTAAAAAAATCTTTAAGTTTATTTTATAAGAAACATTCCTCATAATTGACACTGTGATTCCATTATAACAGGCCTACTTCATATGAGTCTTCAGAACAGAACAAGCTTATCCCACACACCTCCAATTGTCTCCTATTCTTTTCAGTGTTATCAAACTTAAGTTTGATGATACTACAACCCTTCTATGTGCTAAGTAGAGAGTTTACAAAAAGCAATGAAAAAGGGTATAAGAAAAAGTTAAAGCTATACTAGTTTCAGAGACTATAACTACTTTATGCCATTGCTCTAAGATCTAATTTCCATTTTTCTCACCGTCAAAGTGCCTTCAAAGAGAAAAAAAATAGTCATACCTCCTGCAGGGTTCCATCCCCTCCAGCAACAATGATCACATCTGTGCTTTCCATTAATTCCAAGAGCTTCTTGGCTTGTCCCTCATAATCTGTCTAAATATAAAGAAAGCCTTTGGTAAATTTATCATCCTAGGGCCACAAGGTTAAAGATTTTAAAATGTGGAATATTGGGCAGCGCCTATGGCTCAAAGGAGTAGGGTGCCAGCCCCATAAGCCAGAGGTGGTGGGTTCAAACCCAGCCCCGGCCAAAAACTGCAAAAAAAAAAAAAAAAAAAAAAAAAAAAGTGGGATATTTTCTTTAAAGTTTTACACTAATACTTTTCTTAAGTTTTATATAATCAAGAGACATGAAAAACAAACAGTCGTAAAGCAATTATGTATGTTTTTTACAGTTTTATACTTTCAGAGCCAGAGGGATCTTAGAAACCATCTTAGTCAGCTCTTCACTTTAAAAATAAAGCTCAAACCCAGTAATTTATCTCAGTTATACAACTAGCTAGTCCTCATTTCCAGTCCATTCCAGATTCCACTATATCATTAAAAGGCATAAATAAAATGAAAACAGAACATCATAGATGCTACAGAAATGTAAAATTTAAAAATAAGATCTTCAATTAATGTGAAAATGTAGATAAAATGAACAAATTCCTTGAAAAATTCACCTTACCACAATTAGGTCAAGAAGAAATAGAACTTAAATACTTCTGGAACCATTAAAGAGATTTAATATGCAAAGAAAATCTCCCCTCAAAGAAAGCTCCAGGTCCAGATGGTTTTACCTGTGAGTTTCACCAATCATTCAAGGAATAAATAATCAGTCTGAGCATAACCATTCCAAGATCTCTCAGGCATGCATTACAGGTACACAAATAACTGTTAGTTTTCTTCCTTGATCTCCTATCCCTGGAGCAAACAACTGTAAGACTACGCCAGAAAAGTTGGAAAAGAAGGTTCAACATTAAGCTAAATGATCTTTTTTACCTCTATGATTTATTGAAAGTGAGATGTTATGAGTAGGTTAACCACATAGTTATGAACACAGTAAGAGTGGTTTTCACTAAACACACATCCCTATGTATGTACCCACACATATCTCACTAACAATTCAGTTAAAGGGGAGGCTTGAGCCATCTACTTATCTACTTATTTTTGTCCCTTTTTCTTTTTACTTAAATCTCACAAACTCTAAAGCTCTGACATTTAAAATTCCTCACTAAGCATAATTCCTTACCAGATATAAAAATGTTTACTTGCTTGTGAATCCCCAAAATATTAAACTACTCAAAGTTGAAGGTTCTGTGTTTTCAGGAAAAGAATTCTTATACCTATAACAACTTTCATCTTCCAAGAAATATAATTCCACATCCTATCTCTTACAGAAAAGGTAGCAAGTTCTCCAAGCCTCCATCTAATTCTATTCTAAAAATGAAAAGCCAACAATGTTTGGATAAAACAGAACATCTTTTAGTAATTATCAGAACAAGACACAGTGTCCTGTATTTCTTTGCTCTAGACTTCTTAAATGACAAGTGAGTTTTGCTAAGCAGTCAAGAGAAGAGGGTATGTTATAGGGAGTGGAGACTTGGGTCAAATATACACCACAGATACATTGTCACCTTGATGATGGTTACATCCATGCCAGATAAATGCAAAATCGGGGCAGCATTTTTTTCAAATAGAGTCCTGGCTTTGCTGTGGATAAAGAAAAAATGAAAATATTTTAATACAAGTTCTCAAGAAGAATAATAAGAAATCCAAACATCTTCTTTAGAGTAGAATAACAAAGACCATGTTAACAACATGGTTATATTATGTTACAGTTATGTTAACAATAACAAAAACCAAGGAATGTGGGTTTCCTTTATTTGTTCAACTAAAGAAAGTTTAACAATGGGTAGTGAGTTGTCACACATAGAAAAATAGAACCTTTCGCCCTGGCGCCTCCAGCAGTTTGCCCCTTATCTAATGTAATAAGCTTTTAGCCATTTCGGAGGCCTACGGCCCACATTCCAGTTCTCTAGGAAGAATAGGACACTAGATGTGGCTCCACTCAGACATCAATGCCTGATTTCCTCAATAAGAATGTACTGAGCACCTACCCAGTGACAGACACAGTGGGAGGAGCTGGGGACAAAGCAGACAACACCACCTGACCTCACAGAACTTATATTCCAGTGAAAGGAATGAATTCCCTGCAACATCATTCATCTGGCCCAAGGGAGTAAGTTGAACAAAACAGAAAATCACTTAATTTTAACCCAATGAACACAACCTTTTGAGGAAAGATACATCATGTTTAATAATTGCAAATAGTAGAGGTATCTCCATTTCTTGAATTTTAAACCTGTAATGAAATCCCTGGAGGCAGTGCAAAAATATTTTCCATGAAGACAGAATTTCTGTCATCAAAGAGAAAAGTTCAAAATTACCTAATGTAACTATAAGATAATTCATCAGAACATTGTTCAAAACTCCCAGGCATGGTCACTCCCTTATTTGTGTTCCCTTTTACTTTTTACACACCTCCATTAGCAACTTTCACTTTTTTTTTTTTTTTAGAGACAGTCTCACTTTATCACCCTCAGTACAGTGCCGTGACGTCACAGCTCACAGCAACCTCCGATTCCTGGGCTTAGGCGATTGCCTTGCCTCAGCCTCCCAAGTAGCTGTGACTAAAGGCGCCCGCCACAACAGCTGGCTATTTTTTGTTGTTGCAGTTTGGCCAGGGGCTGGGTTTGAACCTGCCACCCTCAGTTTATGGGGCCAGCGCCCTACCCACTGAGCCACAGGTGCTGCCCCACAACTTTCACTTTGTATCATGATTTCCAAGACTATCTTCAGGACCAGGCTAGAAGCTTTGCAAAAACAGATACCAATTTTTATTAAGCCCTGAATCCGCTGGCCTCCAGGATTATGTAGAGGTGAGGGAAAAAAATTGTATTTTCAAACAATCAGTGTCAAACCCCTAACTTTTATATCCACATTTATTCAGTCTTCTTTCTAAAAACAGATGTTTTTAAACTAGTGATACATCCTTTGACTTTAAGAATATGTTATATTAAAAAGAAATACAAAGGCAGATACTTAGGAGCATGTGTAGTTACACAGAGACTAAATTCAATGTCCTTTAAATAAAAAGAAATAACCACCAAATGGCATAGAAAAATCAAAACGCTTCTTATTATGAATTAAATTAGAAATTGAGAAGCCTGGACAAATTTTCAGAACCATCCTAAAGAATATGTACAATCCAGGGAATATAATAAGCAAATTAAGTATACCCTACTTTTCTACTGCTTTAAATGATTATTAGAATGAACACAAAAGGGTCTGGGGGCTTACCCCAACAATAAAAAGTGTAGCTAGTGATTACTGCAAACGATTCTCCTTCCAGGGTTGGAAGTGAATCAAGTCTATTTCCTAAAAGTAAAACTCTGGATAAGTCTCATTAGCTGCCATGTCAATCACAACAAATCTGTAACCTCCTCTGTGGACTTCTTGCAGACTTATTTCTTAGTTTAAGAAATTAAGAGTTAAACATTTAGGTCTTTATTCATGTATTTATGCAATGCCATGGGTTCAGAAAATCACTAAAATGAAGGTGAAAATGTTTTTCCTTCTAAAGATCTATATAAAAGATTGAAAACAAGTGTTACCAATAAGAAATACATTATTTATTATATAATTAAGTGAGATAGCACCAGGGCTAAATAAAAACTTTATGTACTTATAGCAATTTCTAGTCTCAGGCATACACACAAAATAATTACTCTTTAATGTATAATTTATTAACATTAAACACACAGTTATCTTATTTCTTAAAGCTCTTCTGTAGTTTTAAACCGGTACTACATAATGAAATAGATACATGATAAATTATAAATTATGTGTCAGGGCAGAGCCATGATGACAAAAACAGTGCAATTAAATACTGAAAGCTTAAAAAAAAAAAAAGATGCTGGAGATTTTCAGAGTTTCCTAGAAGCATAAGGGATTCACCTTGCTAAAGGAGACAGTGCCTTAAAAAAGACTTTCCTTTAGGGACAGGATTTTAGTCATCTTTAGGTAAAGGTATTACAGATTTAAGTAAGAACTCACCTTTAAAAATGCAAATATATTTACATCTAAAAAGGATCTAAAACTGCTCTGAAAAAAATAGTTTATTAATTTAAAAAAATTGTACATACAGCTGGGCATGGTGGCTCACGCCTATAATCCTAGAACTCTGAAAGGCTGAGGTGGGTGGATTTCCTGAGCTCATGAGTTCAAGACCAGCCTGAACCAGAGTGCCCATCGCTAAAAATAATCGGGTGTTGTGGCAGGCGCCTGTAGTCCCAGCTACTTGGGAGGCTGAGACAAGAGAATCGCTTAAGCCCAGGAGTTTGAGGTTGCTGTGAGCTATGATGCCACAGCACTCTACCAGGGCCAACAAAGTGAGACTATCTCAAAAAAAAAAAAAAAAATGTAGATACCTCTTAGAAGCAGGAATCAAAATAACTGAGCACATCTTAAACAAATTGCCATAAATTTGATCAGAAACTACCAAGTTATTAATGTATAAGGTCTCTAATGGTCTAACAGAATAGAACATAGAACAGTTACTGAATGAGGCCAAAGATGAGATAAAAGAGCTTCTGGGCAGGGTAGGCTAGGAAAGAGAAGAAGGTTCTGAGTCCAGCCCACAGTCAGTAACAGCAGTAACAGCAGCCTGTATTTCTCACATCGATGCTTACTAGGAAATGGAAGTAATGCACTTCATAAGCATCGTGTCACTTAATAACAAAGGCCTCTATATTCTGTTGGGTAATTTTTTTAAGGTGTGTGCTATTGCTGCTCTGATTTTACAGGCGAGTAAACCAGGGACTTAGGAAGTTAAGTAACCCCCACAGTATCACAGCACCTGGAAGCAGGAAAACAGTATGCAGCAGACCAGCTCCCTCCAGCTCCCAGATACATACTGAGTTCTCTGCTATCTTCAGCCACAAGCCACAGTGGACTACTTATCTGGGGTATTTTGTCTGTGTTGTTTTAGGACTTATTTATTTTCTGGTATTATTTAGCAATGGTGTTAAATAAGAGTGACTGATAGGCATTAAGGCTGGTGTCATAGTGGGGGGCAGGGAGGGAAGGGAGGGGCTCTAATAAAGCCCAGAAAATATGATTCAATTAGGCAGGGATAGACAATCTGAATTAAACAGCTGAATTAAAAAGAAGTAAGGCATGACTTGTCTTCCTATCTGTGAAGCTATACCCATTGCCTCCCAAGAAATGATTAGAGAAACAGACGTCAGAGCCCTTGCATTTTACCCCAGACTTACAATCTGGCCCCAGTCTTTTTGTTGTTGTTCTTATTATCTTAATGTCATTTGACTCAGATCTTACAGAATACAAGCTAATACATATTTACTAATTATCTGATCTTCATAAAAGCCAAAGAGAATGTTTTGAATATTAGAGAGAATAAAAGGTTATCTTTTTATATATATATATATACTCAATCCGTTACTTTTTTTGTTTGTTTGTTTGTTTTTTAGCAGTTTTTGGCTGGGGCCGGGTTTGAACCCACCACCTCCATTATATGGGGCCAGCGCCCTACTCCTTTGAGCCACAGGTGGCACCCTAATTCTATTTTTTTTAAATAAATTTTAAGGGCAGTGCCTGTGGCTCAAGGAGTAGGGCGCCAGTCCCATTTGCCAGAGGTGGTGGGTTCAAACCTGGCCCCTGTCAAAAACTGCAAAAAAAAAAAAATATATATATATATATATAAAATAATAATAATAAAATAAACTTTAAACAATTTCTTCTAAAGCCATCAAGGTCTTTGCATTCACCTTTCCAACTGAATAAGAGTTGTAGCTAACAGTGTAAAAAAAATTTTTTTGCCTAAAGTATTGTTTTCTCATTAACAGACTTAGAGTTCCTACACACTCATCCTTACCTCCCCACACATCCTTCCCGCGCTTTCGATGTGGTACATTCATTACCAGAGAACTGTCAAGAACACATCATTATATACCCATGTCCCAACTACTCTTCACACCTTTAATTCCCTGACCTTTCCAGGTCAGCCAAACCAGGTACAAACTGTCCTGCCATAACAAGGACGTAACTAGGTCACTCCTGGGCCATTTCCTTAGTCAAGAAGATGACTGCTCTCCTCCTGCCTGCTTCCTCCAAGAACCAGCTCCAGGTTCATCCATTTTGAAAAGCACCTTTCTGAGTCCTAGGCCCACAGTGCTCTTGGCCAACTCTGAACTTCTTGTGCACAGAGAAGGCCTAACAATTTACACCACAGCAGCACAGCAGTCATTCCCAAGGGGACTACTTCCAAGTAGATAAGAGCTTCTTTTCCTGTGTTAATTCTGGAATGACTATTAAACTTCAATTAGACAAGTTTTCTAAGTATCAGTTAGCTTTATAGTTATTTCTCATTAACTGTTATTTCTACATTACAAATAAATCTTACTGGCTAAGAGACTGAACGTCATTCTTCCAATTCCACAAAATCTAACTAGATGCTTGATATTCTGTAATTTTTTCCCCCTTAAAAAAATTGACTATATAACAAATCACAAACTGAACTACCCTTTACAAGCTGCAGGATTGAGAAAGACAGTTGCCTTCTTCACTTGCGCATTGGGAGGAATAAGCTGATTGCCAAACACCTAAAAAGGAAAAAAAGCACAGTTTTCAGTAAATGTCACATATATTCTTTCATTCCAAAAAATTTCACTGGCAGCAGATATAGTATCTACTCTAGGAAAGAAAAATGCTCTTTCATGATCTCACTTTACAACAACAAAAGTGGACCATTATTTAATGACAATAAGTTCTATTTTGTATTGGAATAAAAAACTTTGCTTCATCTACTACAGGTAATAACTTTTCTCTATAAAATATGGCTAGATTTATCATAAACATATTACTAGTAAGGCCACGGTATGTCAGAAGAGAAGCTTAATCTATTTGTCTTTAGTTTTCAGAACACAATCTTTTTTTTCCTTAAACCTATCACTGAAACATTCATGAGGAATCTTTGTGTTACTCTTCATATTTTCATATGCATAAGAAATAAATCTAATACTCTAATTGCCTCTTCTTCTTTCCAACCCTGTACAATAACTATATTGCCCCAACTAGCAGAAATGTAACTAGTATTTACTAAGCACCTAGTATTTGCCACTTTTACACATCTTAATCTTAGGTTCTCAGAAACCAAGGGGATATGAAATGATTTCAGTTCTTCAGATAAGAAAGCCAAGAATCAGGAAGACTGAGTTACTCAAAGTCACGGAGTTGATAAGCTGATAAGCCTGGAACTTATACCTATCTAATTATAAAGCCTACATTTATATAATATCAGTTCTAAAGGGCAGATGGGATAGAATTAAAGAGTAGAGGACCGGATGTGAGAGTCAGAAAGGGAACTGAATGGCAGCTATTCCTATTACATCTGGATTGAAAAAGATGGTCAAAAGAATGAAAGGGATTAAGAATGCACTAAAACTAGCACAAATTAGAGTCCTGGATGGTTGGGGAGCAGCTCTGGACCAATAAGGTAGTATTCTAGTATACAAGTACAAAGTAAAGACATGAGAAAAAATAAGTTATGCAACGATTTTTTTATGGAATAACGCATTCTAAATCTACTACCCTACTGATACCCTCTCATCACTATTTCTTGCTTTAAAAAAATACTTCTTTTTCTTTGTAAAAGTTTCTTGTATAATTTCTATTCTGTTCTCATTCTTACTTAGACCTTAAGATTTTCTGCCAAATATACAAATATTGTGACCTTTTTTTTTTTTTAATTTTCTATCCATACTATTTTCAGAATGTGGCCAGAAATGATTTCATTTACCACGCTCTCTGGCCCACCAGATTCCAGACCTATAGTACTAGATCATTCCTCCTTGTCCCGGTTTGTTAGTCTCTAGAATCCTTACCTACTTGCAACTCAAGTCTCAGATTCATAGTGGGATGAGGAATTTGTGGGAGATTACACTGAGTTGAGTTAATGTAAGATTTTTTCTTAAATCACATTCTTTCTAGACCTTAAAGGGAAGAACTTAGACAGGAAAAGTGACTAGCAGAGGCACCAAACATGAATCCACTTTCCTCTGTCAGGTGGAAGATGCTAAACAGGTCCTCGGGAAACAGACTTAGAACAGCAGGAATAAGTGAACACATGAGAAGGAGGAAATAACTGAAGGAACGTGGTTGCTGAAGAAGGAAGAGGAGATAGAATGACACTGGGGTGGAGGCATTTAACTGCATTCAGAAAAGGAGGACCCTCTAATCACACAGGTCTGCCCTTCCTTAGAGAGAGAGAAAGGGTTCTCACAAGACAATTTTTCAGTTGCTAATGGTTAGCTTGGGGCAGCGATCTCTTGAATTTAATACTAAAGTTTATTTGAATTGATTTCTTTTTTTTATTTCTTATAGCATAACTGTGTACATTAATGCAATCATGGGGTGCAGTGTGCTATTTTCATATACATTTTGAAATACTCTCATCAAACTGGTTAACATAACCTTCATGTTATTTTCTTAGTTATTGAATTAAAACGTTCATACTCTGCTTTTAGAAAGATTCACTTGTACCCTTGTGAGTTGATTTCTAAAATAACTTAGAGCTCTAGGAAATAATACTTTCAAACAAAAAGTGATCAAATTCTTAAAATGCAGATTTAGAATAGCTAGTTAATCACTAAAGGCAGGAATTAATAATAGTGTCTATTGTCACTGTCATCCACAAAAACATTTCAGAAACAAGCATGGTTTGCCACCCACTTTTCCTACTAACAAGCTTCATTCATACCTTTGCCATTTTTGACTTTCATGTTTCTTGTTTGGTATTTCTGGCATATGCTCAAGTGACATATAACAAAAAAGGCAACTAAGTCATGGAATTTCATCTGCAAATTACAATGTACAAATGGGGGTAGGGGACAAAAATGTGGTCTTAAATTTGAAAGGATCCACAATTCAGCTATGATTCATACAGCCACATAAATGAATACTTAAGTAAAATCTCATGGAAGTGAGACAACAGTACACATGATATCACCAGTTGTACTTTTAGATGAGCTTTAAAAATATGAATCACCAATTTTAAGAAGACTCGTCTTTTAGAGGTAATACCTGTTCTGAACTGATATGCTTGGGGGTTATTTGGATCAGGGATGTTCAGAGTTCACCCAGATTTTCAAGGACAACTGTAGACACAAACAAATTCCCAGAGCTTCAACCAGTCCAGTTATGTGTTCTTGGGATTGGTCCAGAAATAAACAAGTCTAAAGCAGTGGGTGTTAGAATTGCTCTTCACCAGATGGTTAACTTCCCCCAGTTCTACTCAGAGCTGGCCCTAAGCCCGATACATCCCTTGATAGTGGGGAAAAAATAGCCAAACTGCGCTGAGGCAAGACACTGTGCAAGTCTCCTGGAATAGCTTGAGTTTTCTGCGCAATAGAGATAAGACGGTTTTTAATTTTATCACATTAAAAGGTATTACCTGAGCTTCTTGACAGGCTGCTCTCCTTAGCAGGTTATCACTATCAAAGTAAACAAAAGAGAAAAAACATTAGTTTTAATGGCAGAATAAGATCCATACAAAATTTGAGGAGTTTTTTGTTTATTCTTTAATATATGCACCTCTCCCCTGCAAACACTCAAATGAAAGCTTCTCAAAGATCTGATAACAAATCATGGGCACACTTGAAAAATATGTTCTCTAAATGACATTTTGTGTTAAGTATTTCCATATTATGGTAGGCAGACTAATACCCGTTCCCTCCAAAATGTCCACATTCTAATCCCCAGAACTTGAGGAATATGTTGCTTTACATGGCAAAGAGATTTTATAGATGTGATTACATTTAGGACCTTGAGATGGGGAGATTATCCTGGATTATCTGGATAGGCCAGTCTAACCACAGGGTCCTTAAAACAGAGAAACTTTCCAGGTTTGGATCAGAGGCAGATGTGACCATGGGAGGAAGGTCAGAATGCAACATTGTTGTCTTTAAAGATGGAAGAAAGCACAAGTGGAGGAATGTGGCAGCCTCTGGAAACTGGAAAGGGCAGACAATGAGACTCTCTAGGGCCAGCAGCAGGAATGCAACCCTGTCAACACTGTCTTAGCCCAGGGAGAACTGTACCGGGCTTCTGTAATCCACAGAAAGTAACATCTAACATCATAAAATCACTAAGTTTGTGGTAATTTGTTAAGGCAACCATGGAAAACTAATACACATATCCCATATTTTCCTTATTCAATGAAAATTACTCAGACCATTTGCCAAAAGTAAATTTCATGTTTAGTTGCTTCTGCTACTGTTTTATTCAAATCGCTTATTTTTTTATATCATTGTCAGACACTCAATTATATCATAAATGGAGAATTTTGTCATAAGGCAAAATTTTGGTTTGTAAAAATGAAAGCATTCTATCAGAATATGATTACCTATTTAACAATAAAGGTTTCTAAAATGTGTTTATACCATAAATGCATTTTAAATGGCTCCACTTGCCTACCAGGCTCCAGAATCTTCATCTAAGAGTGTGTGCTGATGTACACTGCTGGCCCTGCTAAGATAGTAACTTTAATCTGGTTAATCACAGTCAAAAAAATTAAAACCCAGAAAAGATGAACGATAATCAATTTATGGGGAATAAATTAAAAAGAAAAAAGGGTTGTTTTAATTATATTCTCTTCTTAGACATTTTTTTATAACTTCGAAGACTTTAAATTTTGCATTTCACAGCAATTCAAATCTGATTTTGACATCTGAGGTTGAACAACAAAAAATAAAATCTGTACAAAATTTGAAGGATTTGTTTATTTTCACATCTGGGCAGCAAGAGAAGCATATTTACTCAAGCTAGCAGGGACTGGGCCTGGCTATAAAGGCCACCTTGTGGGCTAGACTTTATGAGAGATCTGTGTCCCCAAAATCTTTGTTATTAAACAAATGGAATAGGACTTCCAGCCTCTCCTAACTGTGCTCTTCCAGGCCCTGCCTTTAATGCTTTCCTCTGGTAGACTGAATCCCTTGTGCTCCCAATCTCTTCTCCTACAAACTCACCCTGTAGATTTTTCTGCACAAGCCCTCTGTAAAAGCTGCAAACCTGTCTCTATGTCCCTGTCATTTTTCTTCCAGGCTCCTCTCCCATGACAAAAGACAGACCTCTGAAGGTATTGGGCTCCTCTGGGTCATTAGTAGGGACATCACTCTTAACACATCTTAGCCACACTCACGTCCATGGACCTTGCTGGAAAGAGAACAGCCCCGAATGTATATAATACATGAGACAGCACCTTGGATCATTTTTTTCCCTAAATCCTTTGTTGCTGGAAGTAAAATACTGATGGTTACCTTATGATTAAGCATATTATTAAAGATCTCAGCTCTCTCGAGCTTATTAATAGTGGTTATCAGAGCACTATTCAAAATCAAAAGATTTCGTGATAGTTAATTCCCCAACTTTAAAGTGCCAAATGAAATATGCTGTCAACAACATCTGTGAAAAATCCAGAATATGTACCAATTTAGATGTTACAAAAGAAAATTTCATTGGAATCATACTAAACTTTATTCAATATCAAAAATGGTATTAACCATCTTAATCATAATTTCCTGAACAATGCTGTTTGTAAAAATCAAACACATCCTCAAAGAAAAACTATTTCTCCCATTGAGATACTCTGATGATCTTTAGCAAGAGCTGAAAGCTATCTCAACAAAGAAATTCCTAAAATGTTTCAGTAATGGTACCATTGTTAGAATAGGAAACTTAAAATTCAGAATGGCTACCAAATGCCATGTGTAAGGGCAGTCATTTTCATAGACCTTTATTTTTTATGCAACACAAGCACTCCCTAATATAAAATATGATCATGTCACAGATGAGGAAGCCAAGGCTGAGAAAAGGAAAGTGACTTGCCAGAGAGCAAAGTGTTTCACTGAGCTGTAGGGCTGGTATTCAGACCCACACCAACCTGACCAGAAACAAATACTCTAATGCACCTTCTTCTTAACATCAGACAATACTGAATGTGCACTCATTCAGTTTATATCCTATGGCACATTTATTAATCACACTGCTTCCTAGTCTCAACTAGTCTAACTTTTACAATTTACATTCATATAATGTCTTGGTTTTCTTGTTTGTTTCTCTGTTTTTATTGTTGGGGATTCGCTGAGGGGACAAAGAATCAGGTTACAATGATTGCATCTGTTAGGTAAAATACCCCCTATGATTGTGTCCTGTCCCCAAGAGGTGTGTCACACCCTGTGACCCCCACCCGCCTCCCTCCTTCCCTTTTTTTGCATCCCCCTTCCCCCACCCCCTACCATGTACTATGCCACCAATTGTCCTCATATCGGAATTGAGTACATAGGACTCTTCCTTCTCCATTCTTGTATAATGTTTTTTAAAAGTTCAGGTGTGATAAGGATTCCAAAAACAGTTGTTAAAACAAACTCATTCAAGGCAAAGAGCACAATGAAAAAAGGATTTGTTCCTCACCTGAAGAAGCTTAGGATCAAGTGGCAAAGAAAAGAGCTCCTGGTAAACTCTGGTGGTACAGGAAAGGATGTGTATGCCGAGCACTGTGCTAGGTGTCCGGGATCTGCTAGTAAGTAAGCAGACACATTCCCTGTCCTCATGAAGTTTACAGTTTAGAAAGGAAGAGAGACAATTCTACAATCATGATGCAGTTTGATTTTTATGTGTGCCGTAACAGGGCACATGATGAGAGCATCTAACCTACTTTTGCCAGAATTAGAGAGGGCTTTTTACAGGATGTAACACTGAAGCTAAGGTCTAGACAAGAAATAAAAAATAGGCAGGCAAAAATAGGGAATAGAATCTCGGTAAAGGAAACAGCATGTTAAAGCCTGCAGGTGCCAGCATATGATGAATTTAGGAAAGTGACAGTAGTTCAGGACAGCTGGAGGCAGCTGCCATGGGAGGAGCTGCAAGCCAGGAGGGAGGAGGAACAAGGAGTCAGGTAAAGGCCAGGTCACCAAGGCTTTTAAGCTATTCCAGGAATCTGGATCTCATCCTGAGGGCTATAGGAACCAATAAAAAGCTTTAAGAAGAGAACTCATGTGACCAGACTTACACTGGGGGGTGGGGGCGGGCCATTCTGCTTGCAGTGTGAAGAAGGCATTGGTCAGAGGTAAGGCTGAACCTAGAGAAACCAGGGAGTCTCCCTCAGTCACTCAGGCCCGTGATGATAACTGGAACTAGGATTGTGGTGGGGGGATGGAGAGAAGATGCCAGATGCAGCAGATATGGAGGAGGTGAAACTGAGGGACAGTTCATGGGGATTGAGAGAAAGGGAGGAGTCAAAAATGCCCCCCCCCATTCTGCATCAAGCAATCTAGGGGACAGAGATGGAACGAGGAGAGCATACAGGAGTGAGAAGAAGAAGACTGAGGTTAACACTGGATCTGTCCATCTGAGACAGTGGTGAGTCCTGGTGGAGGTGTCTAGGGGACAGCTGCACATACAGGTGGCGGTCCAGACAGCAATCTGGGCCCTGTGGTAAGAGAAGGGATGATAGTGGTGATAATGGGTAACATCTTCTAGATGAGCAGGGTGAGAAATAGAAGAAGCAGGAAGAGATTCCCGGAGCATGGGGACGGTTGACAGTGAACACCAAATGAACCTCAAGTAAACTGACACTGTACTGCATTGGAAAGTCAAAGGAAAATTCTATTAGATAACTGAAGAGAAAGTTGTCCTTACTGCCCACCTTTCCCCTTGATGCTGCTTCTACTCTGGCAAACTGTATGTTTTATTGTTCCTAAAAGACACAAAGAACTTTACATCTCTACAGATTTAATCATTTTACTCCTCCCTTCAAAAAAAGGCCAAATCAATACAACCTATGTCCTTACCCCTCCACGTCTAAAACACCTTCCATCCTAGATTATAAACGTCTTGAAATCATGGATAATTCATCATTTTCTCATCCATAGACCACAGCACAGACTCTTATGGATAGAGGGTATTCAGTAAATACTTGTTTAAATAAATAAGTGGCAAATGTTTGAACAGTAGAGATTGACTCACTGTGCTCAGATGGGCAGACTCTGTCCTGTAGGAAAAGCTGAAGGTTATGCTTTGTACGAGTATTTGGTATTCTTTTTTTTTTTTTTTGGCGACAGAGTCTCACTAAGTCATCCTTGGTAGAGTACCATGGTGTCACAGCTCACAACAACCTAAAACTCTTGGGCTGAAGTGATTCTCTTGTCTCAGTCTCTCACACAGCTGGGAAGATAGGTGGCCACCACAATGCCTATTTTTTGTTGTAATTGTCATTGTTGTTTAGCTGGCCAGGGCCGAGGTCAAACCCGCCACCTTCGGTGTATGTGGCTGGAGCCGTAACCACTGTGCTACAGGCACCAAGCCAGTATTGGTATTCTTGAAACAACTGATTAGCTGGGATGATCTTCAGTGATTACCACCAAAGGGCATGAATAAGAGTCACTGGGTGTCGAGTAGGATGAAAAACTTTACTAGATCAAGAAATTCACAGAGT